CTAAATGTCAGTGCATGAGCTGGTGATGATGCATGAAATTTTCTCATAGCAAAAGGAGAAAAATAAATGAAAATAGTGTGGTGAAATATTAATGGTGTATTAGTCATTTAAAGAGTGTTGTGTGAAGCACCCATGTATCCAGCATTCAGATTAAGAGGTTTGTCCCTGTTGATATGAGGTAGCTCCAGCTCCTTCATTTGATGACTTTTAGAAAGGCCCACCTGGTGAGTGTACCTTGCTTACTGAGGCCCTCTCTCCTTTGTTCTGAGTTTTCCTGTTACAAACAGCGCTGCAGCTCTGATCGTTCTCGTAGGTCTCCTCGTGCACACCTCTCAGAGTTTCTTCAGTACAGGAGTTACACCTTTTTCATGTGTGCCGTGAGCCCCTTTGGCAGTCTGAAACCCATGGACCCCTTCTCAAAATAGTGGTTTTTAACAACATAAAATAAAGCACATAGGACAGCAAAGAAATCAGTTATACTGAGGGGCAGTTACCAGAATATTAAAGGACAAGTTTGTGATACAGAATGCAGACACGGAGATGTGCACAACCCATTTCCATTGCAGGATTTGGGTGTTTAATGGCTTAGATTTTTTTGTACCTAAGTTAGCGTGTACTGTAATTCTGTTTTTGAGAGACACTCTTACCTGTTTTGGGTACCAAGGTTATTACTAAGTCAGCTTGGTGAATGCTTTGGGTTGTGTCTTACCTTTTTCTGTTTTCAGAAGTTTTATGTAAGATTGGAGTTACCCATGACCTAGGTATTTGCTGGAATTCATTCCTTTAAGCAGGATTGTCTTTCTGTTTTGTTATATGGGAATAGTAACTATTGATCCTAGTTGTTGAAGAGTTACAGGTCTTCTCAGGTTTTCTGTTTCTTTTTGAGTCTGGTTTGGTAAGACGTAGCTAACTTCTGTAAGACTTTTCAAGAAAGAAAGAAGGCACCAATATATACTATTAGAATGAAAAAGGGGACATAAATGTAGACCCAGTGAAAGTATTTTTTAAAAATACTCTCTGAACAACTTGAAATTTGAGTATTTCGGCGAAATGGACAGTCTCCTGGAGAAGTAGGGTGTGACCTGATGTGATTTTTGCTTGTTTTTTCCTTGAGCTTCTTGGACCTACGGATTTGTGACTGCCGTGAAACGTGGAAAATTCTTGGTCGTTACTTTGTCCCATACTTCTTTCCCCACACTCTCTTCTCCGTCTGGGATTCCAGTCACACTTACGTTAGATTGTTTGATGTTGTCCAGCAGTTCTTGGAGCCTCTGTTCTTGTCTCTCCCATTATTTTTTCTCTTTGTATTTCAGTTTCTAGTGACTGAAATATTTCTCTTGACTTCTTATTAAGTTCACTGATTCTTCCCTTCACTCTGTGCGTTGTCTGATTAGCCACTGAAGGCCTTCTTTGCCTCTGTTACTGTGTGTTTTACTTCTAGCATTTCTGCCTAATTCTTGCAGTTTTTATTCCTCTGCTGCTGTTATCTGTCTGACCTTGCGTGTTTTCACCTTTCCTTGGAGCCCTTCGCATATTAATCACAGTTACTTCAAATTCCCTGCCAGGTTCAGTACCTGGGTCTCACATGAGGCTGGGTGTGTTGATTGCTTTGTCTCTGGAAGTGTTTTGTTTTTTACCGTTTCCTGCGCTTTGCAATTTTTTTTGTTGAAAACTAGATATGTATCTCGTGTGGGACAGTGGACTAAGGTAGACGGTTTTTATGCCTGGCAGTGGGCACAGCCTTCCTTCCACTGGGCGTTTTGTGTGGGAGACCTGCGTAAATCCAGTCAGGAGGGCGGGCTGGTTGGAGGTCTGTTGTTCCCGCGGTTGCACTCTTTGCACCACGGGCTCTGAGCTCCCATAGCGATCTTACCTTTAGACTGGAGGCTGGTTTGCCGAAGGGCTTTCTCAGTATCGTTGGGTCTTCCCTTTGCCCGTCACTCAGAGATGGTCAGGCCCCAGCAGTATTCCACTGTCACTTGTCATAGGGAACCGGAAGGGCAGAAGTATATGAAGCTTTGTTACATGTATTATTTGATTTAATTCTAAAGACAGCCAAATGAGAAATAGATAATATTTATATACATTTTTCAAATGAGGAAACAGGAACTCAGAGATACTGACTGGATTACTTAAGCACCAAATAACAAGCCAGAATTCAAAACCAGTCCATATGCCTTGAAAACATACTGTGCTGTACATTATAGGAATGTAGAAGTTCACACGATGGATTTTGTAACGTCACAGGGTGTCTAGTCCAGTAAATGGTTATGATACCTTTCGACCAGTCTGTCCTTTCTTTTGGGAACTAGAAAAAAGGAGTTAAATTCATCATTTAACCCTGTTCCTGTATCTATTTTATACCACATTGCCTGTTTCAGAAATTAATACCCTCAAGTTCTGTATAAACACCCTTCTAGTTTGTATATACTTACTTTATGAATCATAAATGGAGCCTTATTGAGAGTTTCTAATATGAACATTATGTATTCATTTGGGTGACTTCATTTTTAAGGCAGTTTTTAAATTTTTTTAAAAGTATTTAACTGTTTGTTGAATAAAATAGACCTGTAACTAATAATAACATTAAAAAATATTGTTGAGGCATAAAATGCATAGGTAGGAATTTATAAGCTTTTTCAGGCCTTCTGTCTCTATTCTGAGTATTTCTATTTTTAATTCTTAGAACCAGATCAACAGTAATCATCTTCGAAGAGCAGAGCAAGAGGTAAACAACCTACAGGAGAAAGTGCAGTGTCTTTCTGCACAGAACAAAGGGCTGCTGACCCAGTTAAGTGAGGCAAAGCGCAAACAAGCAGAGATTGAGTGCAAGGTAAATACATGTCAACGAGCAAGTTTGTGTTTTTTGTCAATATAACAATGCCTTTCTTCATTTTTGTCTCATCATTGAGAACCTTGTTATAAAACCAAAAAAAGTGAGTCCTATTTCCTGTTTTTCCTGAACTTAGTTTGGCAGTTGCTTTAGGACCAGATTTCTTGTTCTGGGTAGATTTCAGGCAGGAAACGTACATTGTCAACCACTTGGGTAAATGCCGGTGCACAAATTAAGTTAACCAAGTAATTGAAAATTGATTATCTCTTTTGACCTGTAGCCCTTCACACCGAGTCTTTTAATGTCTCAACCAGAAAGAGAGGCCAAGGCAGCTCTGCTTTGATGGGCACCTTGTTCTGGGCTGTCAGTATTTGCACATGTTTTCCGCGTAGAGTAGACAGCGAAAGAGGTGCGTGTGCCAGCGGGTTTGGGAAATTGTGTACCTTCCACATTATTACTTCAATCACTTTTTCTCTTTGGGGGGGAAACATTTGGATTCATAAAGCATGGAGAAGTTTTTGAATGCAAGCACAGTTTTTCCTTAAATGAGTTTACAGTATAGCAGCAGTGAGGGAGAAGAGGGAGACGGGAAGTGGGCTGGACGGAGAGGGTCTGTGAGATCACTAAGGAGACGACTGTGACCACTGGAATGGGCTACTGAGAACGAGCTACGGGATTTTAAAAACAAGCCGCACAGCCGTCTTTCCGTGGTAAAAGAGTAGGAATGATGCCCGTTAGGGATTCCAGCCTAATTATTCTACGATAAGAAACGAGACTTTCAGTGGTACATATAAAGCTGTAATTCCATCAACGCGTTCTGGTGTCACTAAAAACCAGGAGTGAAGCTTGAGTGGTTTATCAGTGTCACTGAAATCCAGAGATGAAATTACATCCTAATAAATATGCATGGCTGTTACAATTTGCACTGACAGAAATCTGTAGGCAGTACTGAAATTTGCACTAACGTAAGAGTCAGTCCCTCTTGAAGGATGTGACTAGACTAGTTTAAAAATAAAACGATGTTACGTGAGGTTATGTCAGTCTGACTCACACTGATACCTGGTGAGTTTTCATGACGCATTGGTGTCTGTGCTGACATTTTTAATAAAGAACTAAATTTTAGTCTTTTTTTATTACTGGTGTATGTTTTCCTTTAACATATTGATTTAACATTACTCCTCAAATGCCTCAGCACCTTTTAGTCAAACTATTCTTTGGAGATAAATATTTGGTGATTTTGCTGATGAAAATAATTGTTGTCTTTGAATTTATGTAAGTAATGGGCTTAGATTCAGAAAGGTAAGAACTGATAGGAGATTTTATTTAATTAAAAGATTTTCATTAATACCTCTGTGAGGTGTGTTCCATACACTGACTCTGATATCTCCCCCATGTTTAAGCTGCATGTTGATTTAGTCAGTCTTTTGTGATGCCTTTTGCAGATTCAAAAGTGACCAGTGCTGTTACCTTAGCATCTAGGACATTCTGGTTAAATATATGTGTTTTACCTTGTTACGTGGAAACAAATGAGGGACGAACGTAATTTTTCAAGGGAGTCAGTCCTTCAGTTTTATAAACCTGACTCATTTTCATTTGGTTTTATATGATTCTAGCTTATGACTTGCTGATGAGTAATTCTTAAAGCTCGTGCTGTTTTTCATTTATGCACGTGTTCAGTATCAGTGTTACTTTCCCTCTGTAACTGAATTCGAATGTTCCCACTTACAGGTGGAACAGGGCAAGTCAGATCCCCTGTAGGAACACCCAGGACACTCTGAAACCTGAACGTTTTTTCATAAATTTCACACAGATTTGTCTGGAGGCATAACCTGTTTTGAACTGATACGTAGTCATTTGTCATTTTCATTTACCCTGCTTAGGGTGGCTGTTTGCACGTCAGGGCTTCACGGTGCGGGGCTTTGACCCTGCGTTGTGGTGGGCGCTGCCTCAGATCCCACCGGGTGGCACTGATGCACCTCATGCCCCTTTTCAGGCAGATACTAGCAGCTGAAGTGCATAGTTTTTCTTCTCACTTTCTTACACGAAAGTTAGCAGACGATATTTTGCTTTTTTCCTTTTTGGGTCAGTGTGTTTTGTGGATCTTTCAGTATCAGTGCGTGAACACTCTTACTGCCTCCCCTTGTGTGGAGGGACCGCAGTGTGCTCGGCTGGGCCCTCGCTGCTGGGCGCGTGGGTCGCTCCCAGTGTTCTGCTACTGCAGACAGGGTTCATGTGGAGTTTCAGATATATAGAGGTGCATCTGCACATTCCTGTAGGAAAAGTTGCTCTAGATTTGATTGTTTGGTCAATGGGTAAAAAATCTTTTCATAGATTATGTCAAAATACCCCCCCTTAGGGTTGTACCGTTTTCTGCTTTGACCAGCAGCGTGTAATAGTGCTTGTTTCTTCATCGTGTTACTCACATGTGGTGTAGCCAGATCTTTTCATTTTAAGTAGATATAATTTACATGTTGATTCTCAAATAGGGATGGGAGGAGGTGAGATTATGAGACTTTAAAGAACAGTGCCATCCGTCTACTTACACATTTGTCAGATATTTGGGTGTCTTCTCTTTGTCGGTTACTCCTGTAGGCGTTGGGGATACAGTAATGGAGAAGCTGGACACAATGTTTAGTGAGACAATATGTGAAAAATAGAAAAGGTCATTGCTAATGATGCACTATAGAGTGGGAGAAGGGTAATGAAGATCAAGAGCTAGGAGAGGGTATCAGAGCTGGGACCTGAAGAATGAGAAAGAGCCAGCCATGCGAAGAGTCGGGGGAAGGTCTTTGCCTGAAGAGAGTCAAGAGTTCAAGACTCAAAGGCAGGGAAGGACTTGGTTGCTGAGTCTTGCATGTCACATAGAGCTGAGTGAGATGAAGCCAGGGAGGTGAGCCAGGACTCCTCTACTCAGCATACAGATTTTTACAGGCCACGCTAACAAGTTTGGGTTTTACTCTGAGTACTGGGGGAGGCCGCTGAAAGGTCTTAAGTAGGAAAGAAACATACAGTTTTTGATCTGCTGTATTTGCTTCAGATTTTTTTTACTTTTAACTCTGAAATAATTTTATGTTTATCGTAAAGTGGCAAAGGTAGTACAGAGAGTTCCCATATGCCCTTTAATCAGCCCCTCCTAATTTCAACATAACCACGATACACTTATCAATACTGAGGAGTGGACATTGGTGCAATGTTACTACTAACCTACAGACTTTATTCAGATTTCCCCACCGTGTCTCATTCTCCTTTGATCTGTGACAGTTTCCGAGTTTTCTTTCATTACTGTGACGATTGAAGAATACTAGTCAGGGATTTTGTAGCAATTCCTCGATCTGGTGTCTTCTGATGTCTTCCCACGATTAGACCAAGGTTCTGAGATGCTTCAGGAGAGAACACAAGATGAGGCGTCCTTCTCAGCGCGTCGTGTGGAGGGGACGCTGTGTTCACAGACCTCGGGTCTGGTGCCGTTGACTTCGATCGTTTGACTAAGGTCCTGTCTGACGGCTTTCTCCACCACAAAGCTTTTTTCCCCTCATATTCTGTTCCTCGCAAGCAAGTCACTAAGCTCAGCCAGTGGCCCAAGTCGGGGAAGAGACATCAGGCTACAGCTCCTGAAAGAAAGGGTAGCAAAGAATTTGTGGCCGAGTAAGGCCACCACAGTAATTAATATGTAAGTTGTGTATGGGGGGGACTATCTTGAGTTTATGCAAATATCCTTAAAGTCACAGTAACTAATTTTAGCATTCATTAGAGAACATGCTTGTAGCAATTAACGCAGTTGTTCTTTAAAAGAACACACGTGCCGCCGTGTGTGGAGACGGATTTGAGGTGGGGTTGGAGAGAGAGCTGGCATGAGACCATCGAGGCGGAGTTGCTCGCCTGGGCCCTGGAGCTCAGGCGAAGGAGGCCAATTCAGTGTTTTTGTAGAGAACCAGCAAGACTCAGTGGTTAGACAGGAGAGGGGGGACGATAAGGAGAAAATTGATGTCTGGTATTTTGGTTCTTTACTTGATGGATATAATTTCTATGCAATGTTAAAGTTACTAGAGTATAAACATACTCCTTATTTTCTGCTTTTTAACAATTACCTCTGAAACTTAGTGGCTTAAAATAACAGCAGCCACTAACATCTCAGAGTTTCTGTGGGTCAGAAATTCAGGAGCAACCTAGTCAGGTGGTTCTGGTTTAGAGTCTCACGCGTCGCAGCCACCTAGAAGGCTTAGCTAAAGCCAAGGGGTAAGCGTTTAGGGGGCTCACTCGCGTGGTTGTGGGGGGCCGGCTGTCGGAGCGGTCGCTGTCCTCAAAGGGCTTTCTCTTGGCAAAGGATGCAGACGGACGCACCCTTGCAGTGCAGCGTGAGCAGCGCCTTGACTGAGGAGGTAAACAGGGTACGGTAATGGGAGTTTACTATTAGGGTCACAGTTTAAGCAAAGCTAGTGAAGGAACAATGAAGTGAGGCCTTAGGGGTGTGTAGGAGTTCCTGGTCCAGGAAAGGGAACAGGGTTCACTAGGCAAAGGGAAATAGCACATGTGAAGAGCAGAAGTGAGAAGGAACAGGAGGTGGTTTGAACTAAAAGAGGGTCATCCTAGCTGGAGGGGACTGTGTGGTGAGGAATACTGGTAAGATACGAAGCTAGGAAAGTAATAGGGAGCCAGATCCAGCAGGATCCTGGGCACCAGCAGGAGGGCCTACGATATTCCCTCGAGATCTGTGGAGTGCCATTGAAGCGTTTACAATAAGGGAATGACAGAAAGAGATTTGAATTTTGTTAAACACAGACACAGTGGTGTGCTGGGCCTGGCTAGTAAAGGCTTGCAAGAACTAATTGTTAAATTTTCAGGAATTTTGCGACATAGTGGTTAAACGGCCATGTTAAAAATTAAATTATTCAACATAATTAAGTTATGGTAAAACAAAGGTAATAAATACTGAAACTTCATCATTTCCTAATTATTATTTACAGTTTATTATTATCTTTTGAAGTTATTTATACTCATTGTATCTATATGGTGGAAATACCATGTAATAGTGCGCTATTAATGTTAAGTTCGTTAATGTTCACTAACGTAGTGTCAGCTTGAAAGGAGCCGTGATGAAGGCATTTATACCACATAAACTGGCAAACTGCAAGTCAGGACTTGATTTATTGTTTTGTTGATTATCTAGACCAGAAGTTGGCAAACTATAGCCCATATTCCAAATCTGTCTGGCTGCCTGTTTTTAAAAATAGGGTTTTATTGGAATACAACCTTGCCCATTCATTTATGTAGTATCTGTGTCCACCTTCACACTCCAGTGGCAGATAGAGTAGTTGAGACAGACTGTACTTCCCCCAAGTCTAAAATTATTTACTATCTGGTCCTTTGAGGAAGAGTTTTTGACTCCAACTCTAGACTGTTAATGCAGATTAAAGCTAAAACCTGTGCTGTGTCTTCAGCCTTTACGTTATGAATAGCATAAACATACTGAGGAATTTTCTTCCAGTACTTGATTACTATTATCAGAATGATAATTCCATTGTCAGAAGAGATAACATGAACAAAAATTAACCAACCTTCATATCAAAACTTCACTTTTCCCTTAGTTTCAGTGATAGGTGACTTATAGCAACAAGAGTTTGGCAAGAACTAGTGAAAGCGTTCTCGGAGGGTGTACTGACTGCACAGAATTTACAGTAATGAGTATTGTATGTCTTACCTGTGTGTTGTGTACTGTACACCCTCTGCTTCAGTTTGTATTAAAACATATAATAAGCTTATGTGTGAACACACACACGTACGCACACACACACACTTGCTTGAGAGCTGGCTGTTTCCAGCACAGCACTGACTACAAAGACTGCGTGTTCTGGCCACATACAAGATGGTGAAATATTTAAAGCAGTATTTTCTCAAAGTGAAATATCAGTATCTCTTCCAAGTTAAGAGAATAAATATAGTTTTTATTTAGAAATTTTTATACATTTACTAGATTTAGTATTTTTTTTAATTTTCATATTATAGTACCATCAGGTGCTAAATTTCTCCCATGGTCACTGTGCTGCACATTTTTTAAACTAAGTGCTAAATTTCAACTGAAGTTAATGAAGGACCAGCGTATGTTTGTATTCCCTATTTTCTCTGTCATATTTTTTTCACATTCTGTTACTTCTGCATCAGTAATATTTAGCATGGATATTGTACAATACGATTTTAGAGTTTTTCCTTTGTGAACTTTTGTGGTGGTAGAGTTTAATATTATGCTTTTCCTAGGAAGATTGGAAGTGTAGGATAATCTGAGTTCTATTATTTTCGTTTGTAGTACAATGTAAATATTCGTTAACATTTTTTGCCTCAGAAAGAATGTCATTTTTACAGCATTATCTCGCTAACGTACTCTTAGTTGCTTATATTCCCTGTTAATCTGTTGTCCCAGTTACTTAACATGTTTGAAGATTCTCAGTTATTGTTCTTAGATAAGAAAAACCAATGGTTTTCATAATCACCAGTAACTTTAAAGATTTTAATTTACTTTTAATAAAGCATTTTGAGCAATATTTATATGGATAGTTTTAAAGATGGAATGCTCTTCTGTGTATTTATTCTTCTTTTGCATTAAGTTCAAGATACAATGGCTTTTTCTTCTCATTTGATCAGGGGTCTGTTTGTTACTTTCTAAATTTGAGGCATGTTACAAGTGTTTATGTTTTATCATTGGTTTGGTTTATTACCTGGTTTATTTTGGGTTTGCTTTGTTCGCCACCCTAGAACAAGGAAGAAGTGATGGCTGTGAGACTCCGCGAGGCAGACGGCATCGCCGCTGTGGCCGAGCTGCAGCGGCACATTGCTGAGCTCGAAATCCAGGTACTGTAGCAGCGTGATTAAGCTCGTGTCAAAACGGTACAGTGATTTCCCCTTCCCTGTGCACCTGGATAGCGACTTACGTCTTCATCCTAATGACTGTGATTTTGTTTTCAGCACTTACTCATTTCCAAGTCCTTTTTTTTTTAATTGTGGTAAAATACACATAAAATTTACAGTTTTAAAATGTCGTCTGACATTAAGTACATTCTCGTTGTGCAGTCAGTTTCCAGAAGGCCTTGTCATCTTTCAGAGCTGAAACTTTGCACCCATTAAACAACCCCCCATCCTCCTACTCTCCCAACCCCTGGAAACCACCATTCTACTGTCTGTCTGTGAATCTGACTCTTCCTCACAGAAGTAAAATCATAGGGTATTTGTCTTCCTGCAGCCAGCCTACTTCACTTAGCATAATGTCATCTGGGTTCTGGGTTCATGCATGCTTCATGGCAGAGCTTCCTTCCTTTTTAAGGCCGAATAATATTCCGTTGCGTGTGCCTGCTACTTTTTGTTTGCCCATTTACCCATTGATGGGCACTCAGGTTGCTTCCACCTTTTGGCCCTTGTGAATAACGCCGCTGTGAGTGTGAGTGTCCAAACAGCATGTTTTCATTTTGGGGGGGGTTATACCCACAAGTGGAACTGCTGAATCATACGGTAATTATGTGCCTAAGCTTTTGAGGATTTGCTATGCTGTTCTCCATCACAGCTGCGTCGTTTTCCATTCACACCAGCAGTGCACAGGGACCACTTTCTCTACATCCACACCGGTACTCATTAATTTTTTTTAAATAGCCATGCTAATGGGCGTGAAGTGGTGTCTCATTGTGGTTTTCATTTGCATTTCCCTGTTGAGCATCCTTTTGTGTGCTTGTTTGCCATTTGTATGTTGTCTTTAGAGAAATGGCAGTTCAAGCTCTTAGCCTAGTGTTTAGTGGGGTTGTTGCTGGGCTGTAGAAGTTCCTCACATGCTCTCGGTGTCAGTCCCTCGTCAGATACACGCAGACATTTTGGCAGATTTATCCTCCCATTTCGTGGTTGCCTTTTTGCTTTGCTACTGTCCTTTGATGCACAAAAGTTATTTTTGAAGTCCAGCTTACCTGTTTTTCCTCCTGTTGCCTGTGCTCCAAGTCCATTTTTCTATGACAATTGATCACATTTCTTTATTGTCAAAGCTATTTTCAAAAGAAAATTCAAAGCTTTAAAAATACATGGGTTTTGTCATTTATTATGTCCTACTTACTGTACAGTATAACGTAGTAAGTTTCCAATATGGACAAAGTGTATGTTTAAAATCTTATTTCTTCCAAGTTTTTAAATTGTATTCTGTTCTAAGCCATACTACAGTTTTGGCTGCAACATCTAGAATTTTCTTCCCACCTGAAATACATTTTTGTTCTTAAATTTTAATTCAAAATTCAATTAATTTCTAAGATTTACGTGTTATATTATAGCCTCATCTTTTGATCTGGACAAAAGTAATCACGACACATTGTAATTTGTAGAATTTTATAAAATGGTATCCTTTAAGTTCTGTTGATAATATTCCCCAGAAAGTAGCACATATTCAGAAAAACTTCCGACAAGAACCAGCTGCATACTACATTGTAATCAGCTATTTAAATCATGCAATCATACGCATTCTCATTTTAGTCTGTACTTTTATATCATGAAAACTATAAAAATTTTGCCATATTTCTGTGTATCTTAGACACAGAATAACATGATTTAAATCACTCTTTTTGTTAATTTTTAAATACTAATTAAAACGAAGGACCTGGTGTGCTGCATGTTTTATTTAAAATGAGATGTAACATGTATTACATTACATTATTGAAAAAATAAAAAAAATGTACAAAATTTTTACTATTTATAGGAGTGTGTTGGCTTCAGTGAGTCTTGATTAAGTGCTTGCTGGAATCCTAATTGCCAGTTCCTTGGCATTTTTTCGGTATTTTTTTGACTTAATCTCATTTGTCATTGTTGACCCCTTCATTCTCTGCGTTCTTTCTGCTCGTGGCTTTCCTAGCACCACTCACTTTTGACTCTTCTTTCATGTTGAACTTTGTTTCCAGCCTTCCTAGTTCTGAGGGTTTGTATTCCTCTGAGAATCAAGTTCTTTGACTTTTAAGAACTACTCAGTGCACAGTGAAGGGTCTCACTTACCTGCTTGAGGAGCCGTCTTTACAACAGTGAATCCTAACTATCTCCAGCCCTGGCATGTTTCCCCTAAGCAATAATTTTATACCATAGAAAAAATTAGGAACACGGAATACGGAGAAGTTCATAGCAAGGCTGCATTATAATGTGTATAAAAAATATCTCTCTAACCACTGCTCAGGTCAAGATAGAGAATTGCCTGAACCCCAGGAGTCTCCCGGGTCACGCCCCGCCCTGCTCCCTCATCCTGGATTTTATAGCAGCCGCTTCTCTGCTTTCCTTGTAGTAGTGCCCTCTTCACATGCATCTCTCAACAGAGTTTAGTTTTCCTTGTTTCTGAATTTTGTATAGAGTCATGATGAATATTTTCATTTGTGCCTCTTCTTTGTTCAGTATTGATTTAGTAAGTCATCGTTTTTATTTTTGAAACATTTTCCATTTTATGAATATATCGCCATGTATTTATCCATTCTACTATTAGTGGTCATTTGGAAATTTCCAGATTGGGACTGTTATAAACAATGCTGTGATTATGAGCAACCTGGTACACTACAGTGACCACATGTGCACAGGTTTCTAGCATGTATGCTGGAGTGTGGAATGGCTGGGTCACCAAGCATGCAAACTTCAACTTCACTTTCCAAAGTGTTGTACCAGTCTAAACGCCCAACCGCAGCGTATGAAAGTTCTGTTGTCCCACATCCTCCCCAACACTTGGTGGTGTCACATGTTTTCATTTTTGCCAGTCTGGTGGGTATGCGGTGATAGTTCATCATGGTTTTAATTTCCACTTACCTGATTACTAATGAGGTTGGCAATTTGGGTTTCACCTTTTATAGAGTTCCTATTAAAGCTGTTTGTATGTGTTTTTTCTTTTGTGGTGTTTATCTTTTTCTTAGGTCTGTGTAGTTCTTTATATATTGATGTTAGGTTTTACAGGTATCTGTTCCCACTTGTGACTTGTCTTTTGTTGTTTTTTTAGTTTATCTTGTCTTTGATCAGGAGACCAGTGTTTTTAATGGAGACTAGGTAGATAGCTCCTCCTGTAAGTTGTATGAGCACTTCAGACTCAGCAGATTTAAAATCAAATGTGCTCTGTTCCATCCAAAATGTTTTTAATCTTTTGTATCTCAGTCTTGTTCAGTGGTGTCATCTTTTATCGAATTGTTCAGCTTAGTAGGAACTTCACTTAATGGGTTTCTTGTCCTTTGTCACATTTACCAGGGCTGAGTATGCAGACTTTCAGCTTTGTTTGAGAATACCAAAGTATTTGTACAGAGTGCTTGTGCTAGTTAGCGTTCCTACCAGTGTTTCACCAACTCTCCTACTCCTGAAGGTTTGCCATCAGATCGTTCCTAATAATTCACACAGATCAAAGTACTCCGTCCAGCTCTTCACTTCCTCTGAAAGATTAAAGACCTAAATAAATCTAAAACTGTATCGTAGGTAATTTTACTCATTTCAGAAACTTAAAAGAAAAATCTTTGATAGCCTTTCTGCCCCTCTTGGCACTCCCTCAGTTCACCTCCCCAGTCCCACTTGAACGTCACAACTTTCTGTCCACTTTCTGTGTCTCCGGCCTGAGCTCTTCTGCAGAGCCACCAGCGTTGTCTTTCTAAACATAAAAACCTTTATTCACTGCCTTTTTCCTACCAAACTGTATCAAAACTCCTTAGCACAAATGCTGATCTTCTCATCGTTGTCCAAGCTTGGATTTCTGGCGTCTTCTTTCACCATTGCCACCCATCCTCCTCCCTCTGCTCCCCCACTGCATATCCAAACACACTCCTCACAAAATGTTCACATTAAAAAAAAATTCTGTACCATTCTTCATGCTGTTCTTCGTAAACTGCTGTGTTTTTCTGTATCCCCTAGTCCTCTGCTTTGTAGGTACTGCTGCTTACTGAGTTGTCCTGGGCTAGCTTGCTGTTGGTACATTTGATAAATGTGTTTTCGGTCAGTGTCTTAATGATTCAGCCTCAATTATATATTTATTAAATGCAGGTTAAGATCCATAAACGGATCTTTTGTTGAAACCTGAGACTCTTTTTTCAATGATAAGAATAACGTTTTAGGTTATTTTTAACAGTGGAAATGTCAGATCATTTTCAAGTTCCACTAGGGGGAGAACTCAACTTAGTAAACTATTTTTGTACTTCAAATCTCTTCAGACCGACTCTCTTAATTACTGTTACTCTCTTGTGAATAAAAATTTTTCCCACAAACCAAAGTCTTTCAAACCCTTTATTTGTAGTAAATTATGTGATTACGTAATATTATTGATATAATAAGACCTGCTTTTTTAACATAGTTAGGAAAATTATACTTTTGTAAATGTCTCATTTAGATGAGGAAATAGATGAAGAAATATACTCATTTTTATAAACACTGTAGCATTCTGTAGTAGAGATACTTAATGAGGTTGAAGTTTATTAAATTTATTTGCAAAGATCCTTCAGTCAACTTGAAATTTTCAGGTCTGATTTGAACTTCATAATTGCCACTCCCCCGGCCCCCATGTTACTAAGAGACAACGACACTTCATATACTTAATATTGTTTATAATAATGCCTTTTCCCCCATCTCTGGAGGAGCTGTTTTATATTAGTGTCTCACAGTGAATTTAACCTTTTTTAAGTGTAGCAGCTTTCAAATTTTAGCCGTTTTCCTGAGCTATTTGTAAAAAGTTTTGCCAAGGTTTCCTCCTCCTCAGACAGAAAGGCGCTTATTGATGGATGTTAGTCACCAGTCTACTGTGACGCTTGTTAGGAGCAGCTCACACCCCTGCAGAATTAAGCGGTTGAACTCTGAAGTTCCATTAAATATATTTTTTAAATCATGCG